ATCAGTTGCAGGACACGAGTGGATCAGTTGCAGGATACGAGTGGATCAGTTGCAGGACACGAGTGGATCAGTTGCAGGATACGAGTGGATCAGTTGCAGGACACGAGTGGATCAGTTGCAGGACACGAGTGGATCAGTTGCAGGACACGAGTGGATCAGTTGCAGGACACGAGTGGATCAGTTGCAGGACACGAGTGGATCAGTTGCAGGACACGAGTGGATCAGTTGCAGGACACGAGTGGATCAGTTGCAGGACACGAGTGGATCAGTTGCAGGATACGAGTGGATCAGTTGCAGGACACGAGTGGATCAGTTGCAGGACACGAGTGGATCAGTTGCAGGACACGAGTGGATCAGTTGCAGGACACGAGTGGATCAGTTGCAGGATACGAGTGGATCAGTTGCAGGACACGAGTGGATCAGTTGCAGGACACGAGTGGATCAGTTGCAGGACACGAGTGGATCAGTTGCAGGACACGAGTGGATCAGTTGCAGGACACGAGTGGATCAGTTGCAGGACACGAGTGGATCAGTTGCAGGACACGAGTGGATCAGTTGCAGGATACGAGTGGATCAGTTGCAGGACACGAGTGGATCAGTTGCAGGATACGAGTGGATCAGTTGCAGGATACGAGTGGATCAGTTGCAGGACACGAGTGGATCAGTTGCAGGACACGAGTGGATCAGTTGCAGGACACGAGTGGATCAGTTGCAGGACACGAGTGGATCAGTTGCAGGACACGAGTGGATCAGTTGCAGGACACGAGTGGATCAGTTGCAGGACACGAGTGGATCAGTTGCAGGATACGAGTGGATCAGTTGCAGGATACGAGTGGATCAGTTGCAGGACACGAGTGGATCAGTTGCAGGACACGAGTGGATCAGTTGCAGGACACGAGTGGATCAGTTGCAGGATACGAGTGGATCAGTTGCAGGACACGAGTGGATCAGTTGCAGGATACGAGTGGATCAGTTGCAGGATACGAGTGGATCAGTTGCAGGACACGAGTGGATCAGTTGCAGGACACGAGTGGATCAGTTGCAGGACACGAGTGGATCAGTTGCAGGACACGAGTGGATCAGTTGCAGGACACGAGTGGATCAGTTGCAGGATACGAGTGGATCAGTTGCAGGACACGAGTGGATCAGTTGCAGGACACGAGTGGATCAGTTGCAGGACACGAGTGGATCAGTTGCAGGACACGAGTGGATCAGTTGCAGGACACGAGTGGATCAGTTGCAGGACACGAGTGGATCAGTTGCAGGACACGAGTGGATCAGTTGCAGGACACGAGTGGATCAGTTGCAGGACACGAGTGGATCAGTTGCAGGACACGAGTGGATCAGTTGCAGGACACGAGTGGATCAGTTGCAGGACACGAGTGGATCAGTTGCAGGACACGAGTGGATCAGTTGCAGGACACGAGTGGATCAGTTGCAGGACACGAGTGGATCAGTTGCAGGACACGAGTGGATCAGTTGCAGGATACGAGTGGATCAGTTGCAGGACACGAGTGGATCAGTTGCAGGACACGAGTGGATCAGTTGCAGGACACGAGTGGATCAGTTGCAGGATACGAGTGGATCAGTTGCAGGACACGAGTGGATCAGTTGCAGGACACGAGTGGATCAGTTGCAGGACACGAGTGGATCAGTTGCAGGACACGAGTGGATCAGTTGCAGGACACGAGTGGATCAGTTGCAGGACACGAGTGGATCAGTTGCAGGACACGAGTGGATCAGTTGCAGGATACGAGTGGATCAGTTGCAGGACACGAGTGGATCAGTTGCAGGACACGAGTGGATCAGTTGCAGGACACGAGTGGATCAGTTGCAGGATACGAGTGGATCAGTTGCAGGACACGAGTGGATCAGTTGCAGGATACGAGTGGATCAGTTGCAGGACACGAGTGGATCAGTTGCAGGATACGAGTGGATCAGTTGCAGGACACGAGTGGATCAGTTGCAGGACACGAGTGGATCAGTTGCAGGACACGAGTGGATCAGTTGCAGGACACGAGTGGATCAGTTGCAGGACACGAGTGGATCAGTTGCAGGACACGAGTGGATCAGTTGCAGGACACGAGTGGATCAGTTGCAGGACACGAGTGGATCAGTTGCAGGACACGAGTGGATCAGTTGTGTCCAGTTGCTAACAGTAGAGTTTCATAGAGCAGGAATGGCTGCGCAGATCCAACTTTCTCGAAAAATCCTGGAGTGCTGGTTCTCTAGACAACACAACACAAAACCAGACCGATTACAATTAATACAATGTGTTTTATAAATACAGCAAGTTTATCTTGAAAAAAGTTCAAACATCTAACATCAATCATCAAGCGTATTACTAGACACGGTAGGCACGAATTTGACAAGCTATTCGCGTCTGGTGTGAACACAGCATAATGATGTACCTTTATACCTTTCTGGGGCTTGAAAGTGGTAGTTGCATAGACTGTCAACGGAGGGGCAGGAAGCTCTCAGATTTCATTAAAAATATCTTCATTTGTGTTGTGAAGATGAAAGAAATTCTTACATGTTTGGAACGACATGAGGGTGAGTAATTAATGACGGAATTTCCATTTTGGGTGAACTAACCCTTTAAAGGGTAACTAAACCCTAAACCAACTTTTTTTAGTTAATGATCTGTAAGAATGCAGCTTCATAAATGCTGTTCATTGATTCGAGTAACTTTTTTGACATTTGGATATAAAGTGTTTTAATTCTACAATATATGGTATAAAAACGTCTGAGTGCTGCCCTCTTCAGGTTGAACGGTGGCTACTGCAGTTGAATTTTCCAATTGGATGTTTGCGGTGGTTCGTGATGTAAGCGGTTGTTGGTGACGTAAGCAGGTTCCAGCTCACCACGCCTTTGGTACGAGCTACCACGCCCTTGGCAGTATAAAAACCATCTTGTTTCGTCAAAACCACTGTGAGTCAGGAGCTGGAATTGCGAGTATTTAAAACGATCAGGATAGAGTGTTTTAGCATCTATTTAGCATAGCGTTTATATAGTTATTTAGATTATTTCGTGTAGCCTATGTAGTTAATTAGCATAGTTGTTAGTGTAGTATTGTTAGAAGCATAGTTAGTTAGTAGTATAGTATTGCATCAGTTAGGATAGCTTCAAGTTAGCGAAGATTTATCTGTATTTAGTACAGTGGTCAGGATGGTAATGCAGTAGAGGTGGAAATGGGCTTCTCCACACAGCTGGCGCTGAAAAGCGACGCAGTGCCAAACACTGCTCCTCCTGCATGGACTCCACCACCGCAGTCGCGTCTTGATGTGAGTGATCTATGGAAGAATTAAATGGACTTTAATATTTGTAACCCACAGAAGACAATCTACAAATGTGTACAATGATGCGCAAATATTTCTCTATCTGCAAATGTGTATTTTTACATTTGTGATGTGTAAAATCATATCCACAAAAATAAAGGGTGATGTGTACAACACAAAACATTTTTTACGCATTTGCAGATCAGTTCCTGTGAATTTGTGGGTCACGTTACATTTGTAAGTTTTTTTTACACATTTGTGGAATTTTGTCCAGTGTGTACTGCGCAGATCTGTAAATAAACATATACACAAATATCTCACGATTTGCAAATACACACAATTCAATCTGTACAAATATCTTTTTATTTCACATACAAATTGTGATTTACGCATTTGTGGATCCATTTCTACACACAAAACTGTTTTTACACATTTGCAAATTGCTTCCTGGCAATTTGCAGGTCACGTGACATTTGCAACTCCCTTTTACACATTTGTGGATTTTTGTCCACTTTGTCCCGCTGCGATCTGCAAAAAAGAGATTTGTAAGCCGTGTGTGTGAGAGCAGTTAATTAGCCACACCAGCAGGTGGCGGTAGCGACATTCTCTCCCATGAACTCCGAGGATATCGACTGCACAGTCTATGGCTATGCCACTGCACTCCCCAGCGTTATCCTCATCTAACTCGTTAATACACAAATGCCACATCTTTTTAATCGTAGTAACGTAGACAAGCAGCTACAACCTATTTTTCCGCGAAACGAGCTTTCCTTCGAAGTGGATAAAATACATTGATCTAAATGCGCAGGCGGCCGAGAGACCGATCCGAACTAAGGGACCGTCTTCAAAGTGCAAACCCCGAAAAGCGCTGCTACGAAAACAGTCAATAACTTCAACTGTCACACACTACAGTGCCTGCTTACAAATTAGAGAAAATCACTTTATTATAAGAGACGGTTGAAGTACGTTATAACGAGTCATTAATGTATTTTAACTTATATGTTTCATATACTAGTATATAACCGAAGCTGTAGATTGTAAATTTAAACATTTCTCGTTCTTAGTGTTTTTTAGTTAGCTTAAATAGTAGCATAGCATTTATCCGATGATTCGTGCTTGCTGAGATTTACCGCAGCTTATACTGCCTTTTGTCATTGTTTTTGTCTTAATAATCAGTGCGATATGTTGTTAATATGAATTGTTTGTCTAACCTTGATTACAGGACAGTGTAATAAAAATGACGGAATCACAAATTGTAATGTAATCATTATCAAACTTAATTCATATCATATTTTTATTTTTTATCCTGATTAATGAAAGAAATAGCATTTTCAGGTATGTTTTGCAACGTTAAGTTCTTTGTTATTAAACAATAAGGCATAATACTTTTTTTTATTATTACATGCATAATTCATATGATTTGTCATAATTATTTCTTAAAACAGTACATCAAACAATACAATAGCATGCAATGCAATGAAATTGGTGATCCAAAACTTACAGGCTATTATAATAAAATCTGATTAAATTACACAATACAATACTAAATGATTTCAACTGAATTACGAGATGTAATGCATTATATTTTTATTAACACAGAACTACAAGCAAAATGAACATTTACATGGACATTTATAGAGCTTTTTAAAATACACAACAATACAGAACAGCTTTAAACAGAGATACTGTAGGAAACTTTCATTTCCCAAATACTTTTGTGATAGTCCTTCTGGCTATACAGTGTGAAGATCTGAAGGAAAATATCTTCATAGCTGTGTGAACAATGTGGAATTAACTGTAAGGTTAAATATTTTGAGAGAAAGGTTTATTTTTTTAGGTCCATCCTGGATTAACCAACTAGACTCAAATAGATGCAGTGTCTTTTGCTGTATGTAAAGTCAAATCTGTAATTTGAAGTGATTCATATTGTATGTGCAGTCATTTTTTGCTATCTTGAGGCCTAGATGATGCAGTCAGGTCATGAGACGTGGAGGCTGAGGAACTCTGAAAAACACACAAACATGCTGTAACACATGCATTTTGTACACACAAAGTCTGTTGTGCTGTGTAACATCACTCACTGTTTTAGCTTAGATGGGCAAACTGGAAGGCACAGCGCAGCGGGCGTAGTTAGCTCGCTGAACCTTGTCGTAATTTCCCCTTGGCAGGATGGGGTCATGACTTGTTGGAAGAGGAGGCTGGACTGGCTGAGGAACTCTGAAAAACACACAAACATGCTGTAACACATGCATTTGTACACGCAAAGTCTGTTGTACTGTAACCTCACTCACTGTATTAGCATAGATGATCGTCGTGATGTCTGTCAGCCATCATTACCAAGCGCGAACCACTGACAGTGAATGAAACGAAGCGAACGTGTCTAGGCCACATGTGACATGCGTATGCCATGGTGTAAACATAATCATAGATACCGCGGGTTTATATCTAAAAGAAAGAACGTAGCCCATGTAGGCTTTTTATACTCACAATACTTACTAAAATATGATTAATATTTTATTATTAGGGGCCAAGCACCGAAGGTGCAGAGGCACCTATTCTATCTGTTCCGGTTCTTATTAGGGGCCAAGCACCGAAGGTGCGGCGGCACCTATTGTATCTGTTCCGGTTCTTCTTCTTCTTCTTATTATTATTATTATTCCAACCAGGTGTCTATGGCAGCCCATAGAACCGTGTCCGGGAAAGTTGTTTTGGTTTGACATTCTGATAGAGGACAGACCCAACATCAAATACACCAATTTTGGTGTTTCTAACTCCTATGTCATCACAAGCATAACCTGAGGCTACATGCTGCGTTTCGGCGCAGCGCCACCTACTGGTCTTGAGATATGAAAAATTGCTATTTTTGCTCATAACTTCTGAACAGTTTGTCCAAAAATCATGAATGTGGTCTCGTTAGATTCAGGGCGTCATGCCGAGTCGGCTGATATCCAATTTTCCCAGATCGGCCATTTTGACTGTCGGCCATTTTGAAATACGTGCTAAAATGCTGTATTTTTGGAACGCATGAACGAATTGTTACGAAACTCGGTATGGGTCATCAGTACGATGCCCTGAAGGAGCCTGAGAAGTTTCGAAACAGCGCCACCTAATGAGTTATAACTCTGGCTGCGGTTGACTTATTTTCACGGGAGTCATCTCGTTGAGGTCCTGAATCCTTGCCGAGTCCACAGATACCAAACATGCTAGGTTTCGACTTAGTTTGTGTAGCGTTGTGATTTAGCACTTAAAAAACATTTGCCGATATCTTCGAAACCGCTAGTCCAATCGAGACGAAACCACCGTCAGAAGTTTGGAAACATAGGTCTATATATTAAACAAATGCCCAAATGCCCAAATATTGATAGTAAGGGGTCATAAAATTCAATCAAAGTCACGTGTCAGTCATTTTTGACGTGTTTTTTCACAAAAATGTCTATAACTCCGAAGTGAATTGAGATATTTTCACCAAAACCGACACACATATGTATGGGCTCACTCTGAGGACACATAAAAAAATTTGTGGGATTTCGCCTCTTGGTGGCGCTATAATGGAACAAAACATGAAATTCCCATTGATTTCAATGCAGTTTTGTGATGTAAAATGCTATTTTGACACCAAACTTTGTATGTGTAGTTGTCACTTCACTCTGACCACATCACATCGATTTTGTAACTGCGCCACCTATTGGTCAAAAGTGATAATCCATTAAATCATATTTTTAGTTAATGTATATGATTTTTCAGCCATTTTAGCAAAGTTCTCTTAAAATGACTTTAATTGCTCCTTGCTGGAGTTGGTCTGCCACTCCTAGCCATTTTGGCAGATGTTGCCGCTTCTTGCGCTTGGCCCCGGTAATGGTTGTTTGCAGCTATATTTGCATTTGTATTAGTTATTTGAAGAGTAAAAAAAAAAGTTTTGGTCGGTCTTAACGCAAGTTTACAACCGGCAAGTCGGTCGGACTAAAAGGGGAAAAAAATAAATAATTGGCTCGGTCCTATATTGACAGGGTCGGTCGGGTTACGGCAAACAAGAATATTTTTAAGGACGGCCCCACCAGGAACGGTCCAGGCAATTAACAAGTGTCACATTCCTAGTGTCAAGCCATTGTGTAGCCAATTTTGTTTTCAGGGCTTTTTATTTACTTTGTTCTTTAAAAAAAAAGGACTCTGTAACATTCTTTGAAAGGTCCTCCTTTTTGCAAAAAAAAAGCAAAACACATAGCGGATGGGACCAATACCAATACGGTTATTCATTCAAAGTAATAATATCTGATATTAGGCCTATAGCCTACTCATCTAATATTAGACAAACAGTAATCAACCACTGTATTTAAATAATCATAATAATAATACAATATCTAGTATAAGACAAACTGTAATATTTCACTATATAATAGTAATAGCAATAATAATAATAATGAAATATCTTTTGTGGACCCAGGAACATCACATTTATCTGCAGGGACATCATTCCTTATTACTCATCTAATATTAGACAAACAGTAATCAATCACAGAATTTAAATAATCATAATGTTAATATAATATCTAGTATAAGATGTAATCTTTTTAATTTGAGTAATAATGAAATATCTTGTGTTGACCCAGGGACATGATATTTTTATGTTGACTCAGATACATCATAACTCATCTTATATAAGCATCATAACTCAGATCAGCCTTATAATACTGAGACGAATGGAAGGTTTCAGTCACTTTTGGGCTGAGATGTCTTATCTTGTGGAGTGTGACATTAAAATGGCCTTGTAATTGCCCGCTGCGCTGTGCCTTGCAGTTTGCCCATCTAAGCTAATACAGTGAGTGAGGTTACAGCACAACAGACTTTGCGTGTACAAATGCATGTGTTACAGCATGTTTGTGTGTTTTTCAGAGTTCCTCAGCCAGTCCAGCCTCCTCTTCCAACAAGTCATGACCCCATCCTGCCAAGGGGAAATTACGACAAGGTTCAGCGAGCTAACTACGCCCGCTGCGCTGTGCCTTCCAGTTTGCCCATCTAAGCTAAAACAGTGAGTGATGTTACACAGCACAACAGACTTTGTGTGTACAAAATGCATGTGTTACAGCATGTTTGTGTGTTTTTCAGAGTTCCTCAGCCTCCACGTCTCATGACCTGACTGCATCATCTAGGCCTCAAGATAGCAAAAAATGACTGCACATACAATATGAATCACTTCAAATTACAGATTTGACTTTACATACAGCAAAAGACACTGCATCTATTTGAGTCTAGTTGGTTAATCCAGGATGGACCTAAAAAAATAAACCTTTCTCTCAAAATATTTAACCTTACAGTTAATTCCACATTGTTCACACAGCTATGAAGATATTTTCCTTCAGATCTTCACACTGTATAGCCAGAAGGACTATCACAAAAGTATTTGGGAAATGAAAGTTTCCTACAGTATCTCTGTTTAAAGCTGTTCTGTATTGTTGTGTATTTTAAAAAGCTCTATAAATGTCCATGTAAATGTTCATTTTGCTTGTAGTTCTGTGTTAATAAAAATATAATGCATTACATCTCGTAATTCAGTTGAAATCATTTAGTATTGTATTGTGTAATTTAATCAGATTTTATTATAATAGCCTGTAAGTTTTGGATCACCAATTTCATTGCATTGCATGCTATTGTATTGTTTGATGTACTGTTTTAAGAAATAATTATGACAAATCATATGAATTATGCATGTAATAATAAAAAAAAGTATTATGCCTTATTGTTTAATAACAAAGAACTTAACGTTGCAAAACATACCTGAAAATGCTATTTCTTTCATTAATCAGGATAAAAAATAAAAATATGATATGAATTAAGTTTGATAATGATTACATTACAATTTGTGATTCCGTCATTTTTATTACACTGTCCTGTAATCAAGGTTAGACAAACAATTCATATTAACAACATATCGCACTGATTATTAAGACAAAAACAATGACAAAAGGCAGTATAAGCTGCGGTAAATCTCAGCAAGCACGAATCATCGGATAAATGCTATGCTACTATTTAAGCTAACTAAAAAACACTAAGAACGAGAAATGTTTAAATTTACAATCTACAGCTTCGGTTATATACTAGTATATGAAACATATAAGTTAAAATACATTAATGACTCGTTATAACGTACTTCAACCGTCTCTTATAATAAAGTGATTTTCTCTAATTTGTAAGCAGGCACTGTAGTGTGTGACAGTTGAAGTTATTGACTGTTTTCGTAGCAGCGCTTTTCGGGGTTTGCACTTTGAAGACGGTCCCTTAGTTCGGATCGGTCTCTCGGCCGCCTGCGCATTTAGATCAATGTATTTTATCCACTTCGAAGGAAAGCTCGTTTCGCGGAAAAATAGGTTGTAGCTGCTTGTCTACGTTACTACGATTAAAAAGATGTGGCATTTGTGTATTAACGAGTTAGATGAGGATAACGCTGGGGAGTGCAGTGGCATAGCCATAGACTGTGCAGTCGATATCCTCGGAGTTCATGGGAGAGAATGTCGCTACCGCCACCTGCTGGTGTGGCTAATTAACTGCTCTCACACACACGGCTTACAAATCTCTTTTTTGCAGATCGCAGCGGGACAAAGTGGACAAAAATCCACAAATGTGTAAAAGGGAGTTGCAAATGTCACGTGACCTGCAAATTGCCAGGAAGCAATTTGCAAATGTGTAAAAACAGTTTTGTGTGTAGAAATGGATCCACAAATGCGTAAATCACAATTTGTATGTGAAATAAAAAGATATTTGTACAGATTGAATTGTGTGTATTTGCAAATCGTGAGATATTTGTGTATATGTTTATTTACAGATCTGCGCAGTACACACTGGACAAAATTCCACAAATGTGTAAAAAAAACTTACAAATGTAACGTGACCCACAAATTCACAGGAACTGATCTGCAAATGCGTAAAAATGTTTTGTGTTGTACACATCACCCTTTATTTTTGTGGATATGATTTTACACATCACAAATGTAAAAATACACATTTGCAGATAGAGAAATATTTGCGCATCATTGTACACATTTGTAGATTGTCTTCTGTGGGTTACAAATATTAAAGTCCATTTAATTCTTCCATAGTGATCATGTATGTTTTAATCACAATTTATGGTTAGGCCCAAGTTAATCCTCTGGTCGACAAACGCGACGGCGCATTTTGCTGGATTTTTTCACATAGCGACAGAATATGAATATGCCTACAGAGAGCGCGCGCTATTGACATCAACTCGACAAAACTCATCAGATGCCGATCGCGATGCGGGAGTCAAGACCGCAGTTTGAGCCAGCGGCTCGAGTTGATATGGCCCTGTGTCCACAGACAATTCACCCTCCTCCACTTCAGGTGAAGCTGGGGGAGAAAAGTCCTCGACTTCAATTGACCGCTCTGTTGCAAAGCTACTTGCGTCACTCTCCATTTTAGAGTCTGACAGCAGCTGTCAATCAATCCGTCACTGCGGGTCTCAGGTGCACGCCCCCCGCTCAGCTCGTCCCCTCTCTCTCTGCTGGGCTCTGCCCACTTTTCCAGCATTTTTCAAATATTGCCAGTGGGTGGAGTCAGGCTCTGATCAGGGGTTTAGTTACCCTTTGAGAATAAATTAAGACACCCACCTTAAGAAATCTCACTAATAGTCAGCCGCCGGAAGAATCTGTGTTCCCTTTTTGTGGCTGTGATGTTGGACAGGTGATGGGCAGATATTTCCCAATCAGTGGAGTCTAAAATTAAACAGCAAGAAAACATCTACCTGTTAAATCATGAAAACAATTGGTTTGAAAACTAATTTTAAGTAAAAAATAAAAATAAAAATGACTTTTGTAAAGTAATTTGACTGGACAATTTCAAAATGAGTGTTAAGAAAAACAGAAAATCTAGTTATACCAAATAACAACAAAGCTATGATCATATTTTATGTTTATGCCCATGATTCTCTCATGTTATCTGTTAAATCTTAACATCACCAGGTTCTAGTCTGTACAGTCTTTAAACACCAAGCCTGGTTTAGCCTTAGCCACTCAGTGCATCATAGAAATGCTCCTAGCAAACACAAATAGCTAAATCAATACATTTAAACATGAAAGCATAACCACCACATCAATCAAAAGTTATTCTGATAAGTACATTTTGCATAAATATTTAATCTGAAAGAATTAGTTAACCATTCTAAGAAAATTGGTCCTCCAAAAAAGGAAATAAAGTGACAATTTCACGTGTATTGTTGGTCTGCAGTCAGTGTTGTTCTTCTGTTTTTCAGTTAACTTATAAGTTACTAGGTGTGCTGGTAAACGAGAGTAAAAGATAGTTTGAGAATAAATACATACTTTTAATATTTGCACATCACAAATATTGTCATAAAACACGTATTGTAATGAGTACGTGTTTGTTTTTACAAACGTACTATTTGTTTTTACTGTTAAAAGCAAACTCCGTGTCAGTACTGCGTCACGACTCAAAGATGCAGGCTTAGGGTGTACTCACACTAGGCACGGTTGCCATGAACCGGGCCCGAGTACGATTGTCCCCCCTCCCCACTCCCCCTCTGGCCTGCACTCACATAGGGTTTCAGCATTCGTGCCGGAGCACGCTTACGTCATTATGGTGCGTGCGACGGTTTCGGGATAAACAAGAAGAGCGGCGCTCTCTGAACACAATGGAGTCCATCGCTCTGTTTTCTTTGTGGATAATTTTGTGTCGTTTGGTCCACGGTGGTCCACAGCCCTCTCACAGCCTGTTGTTAAACAGATGCGTCGCCTTAGTGGCGCGAAAATTTTCACGTAATCGTGCTGCTCGTATGAGGAGGTTTGCAAGGTACCAGCTGAAGTGCAGCAAGGACTTTGCAGCTTTGATTACGGACTGTGTTGGTTTTGGACCGTCGCAAAACCATGACGCCACGCGTCCTGTTCCGTGCTCCAGCACGGATAGCGCTCACACTGCATGCGAACCGCGCCCGAGTCCAACTGAACCGTGCTCTGGCCCACCTCTTCCAAGCGGGCCAGGGCCGGCTAATCGAGCGGTTCGCAGCACTCACACTAGTCAAACGAACCGCGCTTTGGTGGTCAAACGCACTCGGGCACGGTTCAAACTGGCTAGTGTGAGTACACCCTTAGTCGTCTGTGGGCCTAGTCTGTGAGAAAGGTTTAGGCGCGCACATCACATACATATCGTTACAAAACAATATAATGCCATGAAATACATGTTGTAAATTAGGTTAAAAACACGTACTTTCGGTGTTTTTCCTGTTAACGTTACAAGCAAACCTCCTCGTCATCAGCTCCGTATTGAGTCAAAGAAGATCGTCGCCTTTGAGAAAAGTTTCGGCTCGTTTAAGCGCGCAAAGCATTTAAATATCGCTATAAATCAATATAAAATACACATTGTAAATTAGATAAAACACTTACTTTCGCCGTTTTCCTGTTAAAAAGCAAACCCATCCTGATCCTGGTCTGCATCGCGCGTCAACGGAAATGCCCCCCTGAGAGCGGTTCAGCCGTGCACAGCACATACACATTGTTATAAACCAATAAGACGTTATAAAATGCATATATAAATGCGATAAAACACTTAATCCATGCGCTTTCCCTCATCGTATGCCTTGCATCGCGAATCAAAGAAAATGGCGTCTGTGAAAAAAAGTCTCTACTCGTTTCGTCGCGCTCAGCGGGTAAATGTCCCGGATGTGACTCATCACAGTGTTATTTAGATCAGAGGTGCGGCAAATTAACAAAGTTGAGTCAAATATGTTTCTAGAACAGTGAATAAAATGTTGAAAATTGGCTGGAATATATTTTTGTATATGTGACATGAACTCTGGTGGTGATATGCATAAGAATCACTTCGACATTAAGGAAAGTTTGATGTTTGTAGGTTAAGAATAGTATACTATCTTAGTACTGTGATAAAGTTTAGAGAAATTGTCACAAATGAAAATGAAATCTGGTGATGCAGAATTTAAAATAAAAAACTATTGATATGTAAAATATTCAACTGTATCTTGTAGAATACACTCTAATAAATAATTTTTGTAATTAAAATGTGTGCTTGTGTGTGTGTAGTTTTAAATCTTGTGTTTCATCTAATGTTGATTATACAGTATGACCATGATTGACTAGGCATAGGGCTCCTCTTAGGGCTCCACAAGATAAGAGCAAGAGCATGAGTGAACTGCAGCCTTACACTGATTGGTAAACTGCACTGTGTTTTATTAGTTCACTTTCAAAAAAATAAACAATAATAATTCTGATAATTTACTCACCCTGATGTCATCAAAGATATCCATGTCTTTCTTTCTTCAGTCGAAAATACATGGTTTTTGAGGAAAACATTCCAGGATTTTTCTACACAGAATGGACTTCAATGGTAACCAAATATTCAAATGTTCACAGAAGGTTCAAATGTCTCAATGTAGCTTCAAAGTCTCGACACGATCCCAGTCGAGAAATAAGGGTCTTATCTAGTGAAACGATCGGTCATTTTCTAAAAAATAAATAAATATATATATATACATTTGAAACTTCTTTGAACATTTGAAT